TTACGTTTATTGAATCATGAGTAACTATATATCTTTGAGGGACATATTGGATGCCAACAACTAAACCAAATTTTCTTGATTGGCGCCACAATCTGAGAATTATTCTCAAGCATGAGAAAATTGGTCGTGTCCTTGTGTAGCCCTTTCCAGAGACACTTATTGATGACTCAACAAAGGAAGAAATGGTTGCTATAATAAACACAGTGATGACGATAGTACTGCAATATGTGTGATGTTTGCGATTTTGTATAAAAGTTGATGAATGATGGATAATGAAATAGTTTGTAACTTTGTATAAAAGTTGCTGACCTATGATCTCTTAACAAATAATACAAGTTAAGTATGAAGAGAAATTTACAATTTAATATAAATGTTGAAAAAGAAAACTTTTATCAAAATTAGAGAAATCGATGAGATTGAGAAGTTTTCTTGCAAAATAGAATTTTTGATGAAAATAGATGAAACTAGTTTTTAATCAATCAAGAGATTCTTTGTAATAAATAAAACAGAGTATATATTCAGGTAAGTTTAATGATTTTCAATAAATAAACTTTCTTAATTGCTCTTGTAGGTTATTGAAATTAAATGAAAAAGAGATGACTATTTATAGATCAAAAAATTGAGAATCAGTCACTTTCGGTTGAGCAATTTCGGTCGACCGAAGTGTGAATATAGCTGGTGTAAAATTCAAATCGTTGGAGTTTCGGCTGACACTTCGATCGATCAAACCGATTGACCAAATTATGTTTCGGTTGAGCAGACCGGTCGACCGAATTATATTTCGGTCGACCGAAGTACCTATTTCTTGAAAAATAAATTCTTGTGTAAAAAATGTTTAATTCTCCAAACTTAGTATCATATTAAAGACATTTTTATGCAAATAATGAATTTATGAGGAATTGTTTGAGCTTTATGTATTTGCTAAAATCGATGAGTTATACTTTTACATATAAATCGAAGCAACTTCTAAAACTCTCTAATCTTCAAGGTTCTTGATCTCTTCGAGTTTCTTTTGATTTGCTTGTTCTTCAACAGATGACAATTTGAGCATTTGAGTGTTTAAGAAAATTTATTCATGAAAAGATAAATAAAAAAAGACTTGTTAGAAATATAAGTGTATTGTTTGTTATAATAAAAACAAGTGGATCTATATTGAATCATAGATCAACGTCAAGCATTGCCAAAATCAACATTATAAATTGGACTCAAAATGAAAATCGAAGTGGAAGTTAAGCATTCAAGTCAATCATTCGAAACGAAATGTTAAAAGACAAACATCAAGAAAAAGTAAGATCAAGAGCATGAGAGACGACATGAAAGAAAGATCAAGACGAGAAATCTAATAGGCAAATTTCAAAGTAAGATCAAACCAGATTTCTTAGTTCAAATTTAAAGATACTAATACTTTGATATTTAGCAATGAATGATAAAAGCTCAAAAATCGTTTTATGCATGAAAAAATTGTTTCATAAAAATATTTGCATAAATATTTATTTTTCAAAAAAAAAAGTAAGTGTTTCAATTTGATGTTTAAATTTTACAATGTTACTTACCTTGAAAGATAAATTGAAAATGTTCTTCAAAAGTCCACATTTTTCCAACCAAAAAAAAAAGTCAAAGGAGGCTCGATTGACCAGGCAGACGTTCGGTTCTTCCAACGGTCAAATGTTTAACAGTTCTGATTTCTGATACACAATAGCTAGTTCAGTCGTCCAATTCAGCGACGATTTCTGATTGGTCAGAAATTTTGACTTTTTGATTGTTATAAACACCATTTCATTTTACATTCATAATATAACTAGAAGAGAGTTTTCTTGTGAAATATATTTGTGAAATATCTTCTTTGAACTTATATTTTTATATTCATTTCATTTATTTTTTCATAACAAAAACTTTGATTATTGAATCAAACTTCTTGAATAATTTCTCTTATCAAAATTTTTCATTTCTCTTTGTGCTTAACTTATTTATCAATCTTAAAAGAAATATATATTTTTTGAAGAAGATCTTTGCACTTACATTGCATAGATTTTTCTATTTTTTCATATTGAAAACTTTGATTGATTGAATCAAACTTATAAAATATCATATTCATCAAAGTTTATCATTTCTCTCTTAATACTTAATTTATTACAATTATTTATTAATAGAGATATATTTTGAAAAGATTTTTGAACATACATTACATTTATTTCTTCATCTTATTTTTCTTCTTCTTCTCATTGAAATATTTTGATTGATTGAATCTATTTTTTTTATTATCATATTCATCAAAGTTTTTCATCTAACATTTGAGCTGTCATTTATTACTATTCATTAAAGTGTTAGGCTCTCTTATTACTTAATTTGTTTGTATTATTTATTAAGAGAGGTATTTCATTGTAAAATCACTTTGATAAAGTGGGTCGTGTTGAAGTTCCTTAAAGATCAATATTATATAAGGATCGGTGCTCCTTGTGTAAGTCACTGTGTAGATCATATAAAAATCTCGTGAAAGCTCAATAGTGGATCGTGTTGAGATCCTGTAAAGCTCAATATTATATAAGGATCTGTACTCTTTATTTGTAAGTCACCGAAAGCATTGTAAATGGTTGAATTGTACCATAATTCAATCAACATAGTAAAAAGGCATTGATCGTGTAGGAGAGCTTGGTAACGGACAATATAGATCATTGATTTGGACCGAACCTCCACAATTATATTGTTTGCATCATCTCTCCATTTTACTTATAACTTTTAAATTTGTGCTTATTATTTAAATTAATCTATTTGGTCTTTACTTGCTTGAATTTAGATTAATTTTTCGAAAATATTTTAAAAACAAATTACCCCCACCCCTCTGTTAGTTATTCTTGAGCTATCAATTTTATCAATGAACTGACTTAAAAATGCTTAGCAGTGAACGGAGGCGAGAGACGATAGTTGTGTCACCTTTTTTTTTATATTCATGTCACTTTGATCTAATTCCAATGTTTTGATTGGTGGTTTGTCACTTTTTTCTTTTCTTTTTTTTTTTTTAAATTTTTGTCATTTTTTTAGTATCTACTTATTATTTTATTTTATTTTTTTGGTCACTTTTTAAGTGACAAATATCAGTTTTTAATAAAAGTGATGTATGTTTTATAAGAAAGTAACATTATGTCACCTTTTAATAAAAAAAGAGAATAAAATAGCTGTAGGAAGCATAGGAATAGAAATAAGTTCGTTCAGTTTTTGCAACTACTTTGTTCGAGTAGATGCAATCTTCTGTTGAATGAATGTCAACTCCTTTAATATTATATTGATTAATAAGTTAGTCAGTCTAACCCCCTCAATTCGAGTTGGTAGATGACAGTGGCCATGAATTAACTTAAAGAGGCTTGGTGTTTTGTCGGTGAACTGATTTAAAGATGCTTGGTGGTGAACGGATGAGAGAGACAATGGTTGTGTCACTTTTTTTCTCACTTTTAATTGATTCCATTGTTTTAATTGGTGATTTGTCATCTTTTTTAAAAAAATTGTCACTTTTTTTAGTCTTTTTTTTTTTTTTTTTGTCAAAAAAAAATTGTCACTTTTTTTAGTCTTTTTTTTTTTTTTTGTCACATTCTTGAAATTTTTATCACTTTTTAGTGAAAGTGACATATTTAATAAAAAGGTAACATTGTCACTTTAATGTCACTTTTTTTTTTATAAAAAGTGAAAAAGTGACTTAATTTTACTAAACTTGTTTGGTTTGAATTAAAATCTCAAATCAAAATAAACAATTAATTTTAATCACACATATCATAAGATCCACAACTTTTCAACAACATATTTTATCAATTTAATCTACTAAAAATTTGATTTTAATTTCTATCAAGCAGGGGCTAAGTATTTTTTTTTACTTCCAAAATACTTTTAATTGGGTTTCTCAAAAGACTCCTAGTTTTAGGAGTATTTTTGTAAATTCCCCAATTTATTTGGTATCAAAACCCAACACTAAATTTTATCTTTCTTCAATTTTTAAAATAAAAGAATCACCCTCCAGATTGTTTAGCTCCTGATATGTGAAATTATTATCTATTTCCATAACCTTGAAATAATTCCAATTTTAATTTTTTCCACTAATTGTTTTAGTTTTTTGTTGAATTAATATGTTTCTAAGTTTTGGGCAGTTTAATTAATGGGAAAACGAACTGGGGAATCTGATATTTTAAGTCTGTAATAACTTGTCATCTTTGAAGGTTTGTAAAATAGGGTATTGAAATTGGGTTGTGCTTCTTGTACATCGAAGTGTAGATCAGGGTGTTCATAATGGACACCCGACACCTCCTCATTAGAGGGAGTGTTGGTGTGGACACCCTGATGTACACTTTGATATACCTTTAGTATTTTCCATTGAAATTACACTTGGAGTGTATTTGGTAGGGATTTTTTGCAGAAAAATTAATTTTTGAATAGTGATATGATGGGAAATATATGATTGAAAAAAAAAAAAAAGTATTGTTGTGAGGGAAAATATTATTTTATTGAAGAATGTGTGGATGAAAATGAGAATTGATTTACTGTAGAAAATGAGAATCTGTACCAAACAGGCCTTTGGTTCAGTTTGCTGGTAGTTAATAAAGTACCTGTACTCCATTGAACTGAGACAAGTCTTCTAGAAATATGGTTTGCGTACTAATTGAGATGACAAAATATTTTTGTGCCAATTTATTTCCCTCGGATACTATTAATTTTGGATTATGTTCAGTTTAAAAATAATAAATATAGTATCTCGATTATAATATATCCTAATTAGAGTTCACTGGAAAATGTTAGCACATATAACTTACGTGGAATTGTTCTCCTATCAACGGTGGACAAAATAAGAATGTCCACCTACTGTTGTGACTGGAGAACCCAACGTTGGGTTATCTCCAAATGTGAGAACCCAACGTTGGGTTCTCTCCGAGCGGGTATAATAAGACTTTCCACCGTGGACAAGAGAATAGGTCTAATAACTTGCGTGCTTTGATAAATGAATTGAGCTGATGACGGTCTATTTTTCAAGGCTTCTCTTCCAGAGCCAAGTAAAAGATAAGAAATTAATGTTTTCATTACCATCTAGTCTTCAAGTTTCTCGTTTGAATTTACAGCAGGAGAGAATTATATTGGGCCTGATTAGAACAATTGTACTATAGCTGCCAAAAAATAAAAAATACAAATGGACCCTCTATTATAATCATTTTCATTACACATCCTCCACAACCTATCACACCCCATGTAACATTGTGCTCATCACATAAAAATGATCGTATACGTAGTTCAATCCAAAAACGATACACAAGTTAATGTCTAGGAGGTCATGCCATAGCCGGCAATTCAAGATTCGCAATACTTACCGAGGGCGCAAAATGCTATTTGTTCAGCAATTCACAAAAATAGATCATTGGAGTCATCTTGGATAAAATGAAACAGGTAAAACATAAAAACTACACTATAATTTTTTTTTTTTTAATCATGTCTAATACAATTCAATCCCATACCTGTATAAATTGACTTCGAATATTCAAGATCAACCATGTCTACTCGAATACTAGTCCTATCTAAGGACCGGGAACAAACTAATGTTGTACAGATTCACCAATCAAATTTTTATTTTTTTTTCTTCTTTTTTTCCTTTTTTTTTTCTTTTTGGTACAGAACTTGCATACAGTAAAATAACTGAAACAATGGCACTCTGTAAAACCCTCTTTATATGGGCACTATATTAAGATTGTGTTTGTTTCTGTAGCTTTCAAAAGCAGTCTCCTCAGAATTCCGAAGTGCAACCAAGAATATTCTACGGGACCCAAAGTCACTAATGCAATTCTGTATCTGAAGATTCTGTCTTTCAGCATATTGCTTATGTAGCAACAGCTGCTTGAGATAATAAGACCCCTAGTCGATCTCTCCTTCTTCAACCTCATTCGTGACATTCTTCGGAATACTAGGTGGTTCACCTTCTTCCTCTTCCTCGTCTACTTTCATGTATAAACCGAGCTGTTCCAAAGGATTACTGCTCCCAAACTTGAAACTGCCAAACCCATCCTGTGAGTGATCTGGGCTAGTCTCATCTACTGAGCTAGGTAATTGCTCCGGAAGGACAACCCTCAGCATTTCCAGATCTTCAAGAAACCGAGAATTTTCATTGATTTCAACAGTCTTCTCAATCTAGAAAATAATGGGTATTTTTTTGTAAGAATGGAGGGAGAGGGAGGAAAAGCCAAACTACTCTGATTTATGTGATAAAATAAGTTCCTCAAACCTTGAGCAATGCCTCTCGAGCTGCTTCTCTCTCTAGCTCTCTCCTCCTCTTGGCTTCTGCTGCGGCTTCTGCTTCCACTTGCCTTTTAGCATCTTCTGCAGCTTTGGCTTCTGCTAGCAACCTTGCCTTCTCTGATCATACAAACAGTAGATTGTCAATATCGGTTTTCGACATCAAATCGCTTAAGCTTTAAAAGTGACTTTATTATTTTACAATGTGTTAATATTCAATAATTTTCTTACTGGTCAAAGTTGGAAATAAATTAGTTACTTATTTAGAGAATAATTCAATAAAAGCAACTGGTTCTGATTATAAGAAAGAAAAAAGTTAAGCTTCCAGACAAGAAGTCAGCTAAAAGTTAACTTCATTTTTTTAAAGCTTAGCCAATCATATTCTGACATAAAATTTATGGGGGGTTGCTGCATAGGTACCTATCCTCTTGTGCATCTCGAGCTCCTCTCTTTCGAGTCTTAGTTTCTCAGGATCCCCTTTATCATCCTGCAAAGAGTAGATCAGTTCATGTTCATACTGAATAATAATGGCAAGATCCATTGGCATCTAAACGAGTCATGTAACTAACCTGGCTGAGTGTCTTTTCTCGAGCTTTTAGTATGGTATCTAAAAATCGATTTTTCAAGAGAGCAGCACGGTACAGCTTCCCAGGAGAAACCTGCCTATCAACTGAAGCACTTTCCCCTGATATGTCAAATGTCACGAATAAGAAAAGGATAACCAGTTAACCAAAAATTTTAATTATATTTTTAACATCCCATTCTTACCATCCTGGTGACAATCTGAATCACCTGAATTTGGCTTCACTTGGAAACTTGGTTCGAGCTGGTCCAACCCACTAATTGATTCTGTCCATAGACATTGACACAATATCAATAGAAACGTTCTTACATTAGATTAGAATGCAATAAAAAAAGAAATAAGATTAGAAAAGAACTTTGAAATGATAAAATTTCATTTCAGCAGATAATAGAGGATCCAATTGATGTGCAAAGAACAAGAATGTTGATATTTTACAATTTTACGTTGAGAACACAACTCAAATTCAGCTTCTATTGGATATTAAAGCCATGGTAAGACCACAAGTGACAACAGACACACTTGAACTGATAGAAGTCCACATGCAGAAACCAGTGATCGCTATTCGTCATGAAGCTGTTTAAGAATTCATCCATAAGATCACGCATAGCAATGTAAAAATTTCATATATAGATCATGTAGATATTAACCAAAGACAGCCTCAGAAAAATTTCAAAAACAAAACAAAATCTTGTGACAACCAGATATGACAGAATTCAAACCTTGTTAATGTGTCAAAAACCTGTTTTTTAAGTAGAATACTTGAACTTCAACTAGCCCTCCTGGAAACCATGAAATTACAATTCATAAAAGAATCTCTACTAAACAATTGAATTTCAAGTTCATCCCGATTACAAGCAAACACATCCCATGGTCTTTTCATTTGAAAGAGGTAATAAAGACCTTCAGCAACTGCTGATTTTTAAAGCAATCGCTTCACAGATAAAGCTTAAAACAAATATAAATTAAGTTGACAACAATCTCCACAAAGATTCGACACTTGATCCTAATGACATCACAGGAAATCATGCACAGTAATAAGATAAGAAAAAAGAAAAAGTACTAAAAAACTCACGATTTCCATCCACCACCCCATCAGCACCTGCCTTTTTATCTAGTTTTGATCCATAACTCCCATGATCCTGAAATTGTATCATAAATAGATGAGAGACAATTTCTAAATTCATCTAGCAGCAACTTGGAACAATTTTTTTACATCAAATGTTTCAGTCTGTGTAGTCATGTAATAATTATTAAAAAAAAAAAAAAAATCTAATATACCTTTGTCAGCTCTACTGCTGGAGCACCTTTCGAAGATTCAGATTCTCTGTCAGAGGTATTCCTATAATCCAGACCTGCAAGAAGAGTATATCACCAACCACCTTGACAAATCAAAATAATGTAGAACCATAAATTTGAACTACAAAAACATCAAAATAAAAAATCACGACCTCAGAAGCTTGTAGAAAGCTATTATTTCTCATGCTATAATCACACACGTAATGAAATGGAGATCTTGCTCATCACATATAATACAGAACAAGCCAACTTGCAGACGGTGGGGAAACAATAGCTAACCACGAGGTCAAATCTCGCATCTGCTTGATCATCACCTTGGCTCTTCTCAAGATAAAAACTTAACTTCTCATCAAGTAACACAAATATGAGAACTTAATTATGTAGGAGTGATTTATGCCAACCACAATACCAGTCTATCATCTTGACGAGTGACTTTAACCCTTTCTTCGGTCACCACTTGTTATGTTTTTGTTGATTAAAAGTGAATTTATTAATAAGAAGAAAGAATTGCAGAGATGGAGGACTGTAAGATTGCAACTATGTCTTCCACATGGGTAACAACTTTGAGATAATGAATTACTAGCAGTCATGTTAAACATGAAAGGTTCATCTTGTCCAAGAGTACCAAACTTGTCAAGGCCACTGCACTTGTTTGTGTAAAAGGTGCCTCCCTCTTCATTTATAAGCAGACAATTGTAACGGCCAAAATTTATAAAAATTGACCATTGCAAACAATCTTCAAGAATTACAACTCCAAAAGGAGATCATCCCACAGGTTATAAATATGATGCTTCAGCACTTTAGATCAAACTTATGCAAATTTAATGTTTATGGCACATTTAACCAACAAAACTTCCAAACAAGTCTCTTTAATAAAGAGGGAGGAAGAGCAAGAGAGATGAGTATACGTGTCCAACAAATTAAGCCATATTACAACAAAGTATACCTGCTTCATTACATATGTTGCTTCCCACCCCAGCATCTTCATCAATCTCAACTGGAGGATTGCTGGAGACCGGAGGCTCATCTCCACCAATATCAATACCCTCATCGATAAGCTCATTTCCTACAAGTTTCCAGCATAAGAGAACAATGTTTTGAAGAACAAGGTCTGAAGTGAGAACCTCACAGGGAATTCATGTAATAGGATTGCGTCAGAGATCCAAAATAAAAGAATTAGAACCTTTGTCTGCTTGCATGGATGAATTGCTAGGCCCTGATTCATGTAGCAGCTGGAAGAGAGGGGGAAATAAAACATAAGTCATTCTTGCTTGCATATGAACCACATGCCAAGAGGACTGTATTTTGTTAAAGCGAAAACAACAAGTGCAGCAGATAATAAACAACCTCTATTTCACAGGCTTCAGATTTTGCAAAGTTATCTTGATTCTCACGCAAATGATCATCTAGGAGCTTCCGTAATGTGAATAGTGTGTCATCGCCCAGATCATCAATATCAATCTCAATTTCCTCAGCATCCCCTCTTTTAGAACTTTGTGCTCCCAAAAACTCGATGATATGACTTGGTAGATCTCCCAGCGAAGCTTCCAATTCGACGCTTAATTTGTGTTTCTCTTCATCAGTCATTTTCCTCTTTATTGGTTCTTGTATCACTTCATGCTGCATCAGAGATACTTTCCTCTTTTTCAAGGGGGTCACTAGTTTGGCTTTTTCTGTTTCCTTGTTTATGATTGATTTTTCAGGTATGGACACATCACTATTTATAGGGAGTTTTTTCTCAAAAGCTTTCCATCTTGCTTCGAATAACTTGCTCAAGGTGTGTGCCATGATGTGGACATCATTTCCTGGTGGATTATAGGTCTTGGCATTGGTAAATGTGAGCCTGACATCAGCAAGAAAGTCTAGCGGGCTAGCATACTTCCCTGAAGCAAGCTTACTCTTAATTGTCCCCAAATCCATTGGGTTTTTTATAACATTGAAATAATCAGGAAGGTTTAGTCCGACAACGTCAACAGGAGAACTAAACACCCACCCAAACCGATGAGACATCAACTTATTCAATAAACTCTCACAATTTTCAAAAATCTCCAAGTTCTGGTTCACAGTTTTATGCTGCTCCATAGACTCAAATCTTCCTGTAATACCCCGTTTCCAACCACGCCCCTTCCTCCCTGGACCATAACCTAAAGCTGAGGATTTCTTTGCAGTGCCAAATGGAGGGCCCTTTTGTTTCGCACTGCTACAGCTGAGGATATCACTAGATGATGAAACTGTTATAGCATTTGGCAATTTTGTCCTGTGCGATTCAACTTTGTTTTGGAGAAACCGAATCTGCTCGAGTTCTGATGTCAGTCGGAGAGCTAAATTCTTTCTCTCAAATGGAGACAATTTGGACAGATGTACTGTCTGAATAGGTACGGTAAAACCATCTCGTGAGGCAGAATTCAGATCTATCCATTTTCGCATAGGTACAGTAGAATCCTTTAATACAGTAATTTGGTTGTCTATTCCCCCTGAGCTATCAGATCCTTCTGATTCATACTGAGGAGCAAAACCAGTAGCATATCCAGGAGGGAACCTATCCTTCTTAGCCATAGTAATACCCTGAAATTCACTCCACCCAATTAATCAACCTCTTTTGCCCGGTTGATCAATATAATAGTCTCTGCATAAAACCAATGCACCACACCAATTTCTTAAATCCACCAAAAGATCATAAATTTACATAACTCCTAAATAAATAAACCTTGTAACGTTCCAATAATCTCTGCAACTATCCAATAATTTTCACATCTCTATAGTCCATCTGATCATCAGATTTTGTAATTGAAATCCGTATTTAGTGTTGACGTTGAAATGAATTAAACCTAATACTTGTACACTGAATGCTACTAAGTCAAATAATGAATAACAAAGATTTTTAATTCAAAATCCGTTCATAATTCTCTTAAAACTTTCGTTTCTTTTCTTTTCCATTCTCCCATACTTACAGATCATACTAACTTCATTTACCTACTTACAGCACAAATACACTAATTTACGGTACAAAAAACTAAACCCTAAGCATAATTACCTTGACTCAAATCCCCTTCGAGTTGCAAGGAGCAAATTTTCCTCCGCAAGCTTGCCACAGAAGAAAAGTAATTAAGAACTTATTAATCAAGAAGGCAGCAAAGAAACCTTAATTTTACAAGCTCAAACTAAACCACCAGAGTAATGGATAAATAGGCAGATAAGTAGGAAAAATCCAAGGTTCTCGAAACCCTAAAGTAATCAAATTCTCACTGAATCAGAGGGAAATTCTTCAAATCACAAGCAACCCTAATCGCAGGACGAAGCTCCCCGAAGACTTCAACCTTCGAACTAACACAGTACACTATTATACAATAAATACAGAGACAGAAAGCGTGTTTATTGTGAGACAAGTAAAAGTAGTAAAACTGCTTTGCTTGTCATTACTTATAGAACCACAGTGGTAGTCTGGAAAATTTGGCCCGCAGAATATCAGTTTCGGCTAAATCAATGGTATGGCAGTGTGTGAAATTTCAGTCGCTAGATCTCGATCTGGCGGATAAGAAGTGTCCAGGTACGTTGAATCCGATATTTTTGACTTGCGGTATCTAATTTTCAGAAAGGTACGATAGCGCTACCACTTGGTGAGTTATAAAAAGATTAGAGCAATCAGACTTAGTCAAGCAGTAATCTGATTGGGTGGTGATCATTAGATTGTGTGACAGTGGGTGAGTTTACCAAAGCTTTTCGAACGTCTAGAAGCTGCTCGTCCGCGTCAGCTTATACTGTATTCACGCGTCATTTGCGCGTATTCATAGTTTTGGAGTTTAGTGCAAAAAGCCACGAAGTTAAACCCTTTTGATGGCTATTATTTTAAATAAATAATGTTTTACATGCTAATTTTTTTGAATAATGTATGTTAGTCTCCCAAAGGGAAAAATAGAGTAATAGATAGTATTTTTTGAAAAATGTATGATTGAAATTTAAAATAATTTTATTTGTTTGTGTGTAGAATATTTTATTGGGTGAGTGTGTGGTGAAGAATCTTACTGTAGCAAACAATTTTTTGGAATAATGGTACACAAACAGGGGCTATATAATTAAAAAGTAAATAATCTTTTTTTAACTTTACGTGTAAAATATTTTATTGTGTAAATATATGATTGAAAATGAGTATGAGAAGAGTTTTATTTTAACAATAGATTAAGTCATTGTTTGAGCCCCATTTTGAAAAAAATGTAGAGAAAATTGCAGTCACAATACAAAGCCTTTCACTTTTTTGCAGATTTTACCCAAACCTTTGTTTTGTGCCAACCACGATACCAAACCTTTAAAAAACACTCACCAGAGGTCTGAATGGATGGAAACTGTAAGTTTGACTGTTAATGGCTCCAAAAAACTATTTTGACCAAATCAACAAAGGGCAAAAATGGTAACTACATAATTTTAACATAAAAAAGGAAAATAAAAAAAGACCCCACCCCACGCCATTAACCGCCACTGCCAACCACCACTTTTCGCCACCAACGATGGAATCACCTCCCAACAATCTCAATCTTTGTCTGCAACTGTCAGTTTGCATAATAATAATCAATTGGGCCAACGATTTTGCATGATATACATGTAATTAAATGGACAAGAAAAATTACTGCATACATTAAGGAGGGGATTGCATGTTTCTCTGAAAGAGAGAACCAATTGGAAGCCTTTGAAGCGGAAATGCCTGAGCTTTTTCTTGCTTTTGGATGTTGTAGTGGTATATACGTGAAGAAGTGTAATCAAATCCCCAAAACGAAGGATATTGTGAAGTGCCCATTGGAGTGCAGTTCTTGCCACATCCACACCTTCGACAACCACCACTATTTTCCTAGCATCCATTCCCCCTTCGCCCCACCTCTCACTTTATAATCATCTAGAAATCCCAGTCTCCATTCCCTCACTTGTACAAAAGGGTTTCTAGAATTTTTTTGGTGTTATCTTTCTGGGTTTTCTAAATCGTAGCTCTAAACAAAAGTAGATTTTAGCTTTACTTTCAATTTCTGATCCATATTGTTTTACTTTTGGGTGTTCTGTTAAGAATTCGACTAGATTTGTGTTTATTTTTCCCTTATAGTTATAATTTAAGGTTCGGATTTGCATTTGAAACATTAAATTTCAAAGGATTTTAATCTTAAAATCTGGGCTCCATTTGATTCGCGAGGAGTGCGCTGCAGCTTCTAAGACCGTAGTGTTGGGAGGTATTCCACCATTAGTGGTAGAAAGTGGTGGTCGCCAGTGGCGGCCAATGGCGTTTGGTGGAGTGGAGTGGAGTGGAGTGGGGTGGGGTGGGGGTAGTTTGTGAAGAAGGTGAATAGTGTTGCCTTTTTTTATGTTAAAATTATGTAGTTAACATTTTGCCCTTCATTGATTTTGTCAAAATAATTTTTTGGAGTCAAATAACAGTCAAACTTGCGGTTTTCATCCATTCGGACCTCCGGTGCGAGTTTTTTAAAGGTTTGGTACCGTGACTGGCACAAAACAAAGGTTTGAACAAAGTTTGCAAAAAATTGAAAGGTTTGGTACCATTGCTGCAATTTTTCGAAAAATGTATTTTGGAATTGTGAATTTTTTGAGAATGTATGATTAAAAAATAAAAAAATGGGGACTCAAACAAGGGTTAACATAGGCTAAAAAGTTAATGGTTATTGCAATTCACATTTCACACTCTTGCTTAGGCATCTACCTTAGATCGAGACAGGAAAAGGATCGAAAAAAATAAAAGGTTAAGGGGATATTCTTTTTGTATTTTAATTTTGAGTTTTGAATTCATTTTGAGTTTTGTGTTTTGAGTGTCCATTTTGAGATTGTTGAAAATGTTTTCTTTTTGATATTTCGAAAAATTATTTTCAAAACACCCAAAATGTATTTTGAAATTTTTTACTTGATTATAACTGAAAACACTCAAAACGACAAATTGTCGTTTTTGTTTTTTTTTTTAAAAAAATTTAACTTATTTTCAAAAATGCATTTTTGATAATAGGAAAGAGAATGCGTTTTCACTGTTTTGAAAAATTGAAAACAGAAAATGGTTTGAAAATGATAAAGAGAGCATGTCCTAAATATAGTTAAATCGATAGTGGAAAGTTAAAGAAACAAATAAAAAGATTAAATCCTAGGAGTGAATTGGTAGGTTTTTGAGATTAAATTAGTCGATTTATTGTGTGAATCAACTAGTTTTGAAGGTAAATTTTTTTTTCTTTGATAGTTATTTTAATTATCTTGAATTTTTTTTCTTTTGCCATGTAACTTTATACAATTTTTATTTGGTTTGTTATATTCACAACATATTTTTTTGTAAATACAACAAAAATTATAATTATATAAAGGTTATTAACTTTTATTCATTACCATACTTATATCCTTTCTTATTTTTAACATTTCATCAATAAAAAAAATATTATCCTTAATCATGATTTTCGTCCAAAAACATTGATTGTAATCGCATTTTGGATGTGTGTGTGTGCGCGCGCTTATTCAAAAATGTAATTCTTAATGAAATTTTTGGTAGAAATTATAATTAGGAACAATTTATGTTAATTTTATAATAAGAATACGATGAAAAAAGTTTGAGAGATAATTGTGTAATGTATAAAGGTTATGATCCTTTTCTACAATTGAAATATAGCCTAGTTATTAAAAATTGTGGTGTGAAAATATGTAGCCTTTTTATTTTTTATTAAACTAGCGGATTGAATACAATGTTGACAAAATTGTCCTTGTTTTTTAAAAAAAAAAAACTAAAAAACAACTTTTTGATAAAATTTGATAGAATATTTGAATAAAAAATTGTGGATCACTTAAAATATAATGTTAAAATTTATTGTTGATTTTGACTTTATTTTTTATTAAATTTTAAGCCTCGCCAAATTGTGGCTGAAAATTCATCAATTTCTTTATTATTTTTATCCCATGCAACTCAACAGTGATATTTCTTTCTACATGACTCGTATCTATGAATAGATTAAAAATTTCCCCTCATTGGACATGTTTGATAGAAAATATCCAAGCCTATAACTAAACATCAAGGGTTTTGACGTGGCAATTGACACTTCGATTTACAATTTCCTCATCATAACGGGTTCACTTTTTCTGATTAAGCATAAGCCTCCCTAATGTGAGGGGATTGTACACCCGAGTGTCAATCTCGTGAACAAATTGCAAAATTCAAACATCAAACTCACACTCTATTGGAAGAATTAAACTTCTTTGTCATAAAAAAAAAACGACACTCTTGTTAGCCTATATTCACATGAGAGTGGGATCATATGAATAAAAAAGCCAAAAAAATCCTGCCCTATTATAAGTGGTTTGTGTCATCATAGCAGAATTGCTATTGAAAAGCTCTCACTTTATTGATGAATTTCGTACATATTAAAATAAAGAATATTGTTTACTGATATGAAAAGATTTTTGAAAGATTCTAATTTGAAACTGCAATTTGGAAGCATTCCCCCTTTGTTTTATTTTGTTAAAAATCAAAATTTTAATAGATTTTTTATAAAAAATAATAATTAAATGTGTTAGATCAAATGTGTAATTGAATGTGAATTTAATAAAAAAAATTAGTTCTAAAAAAGAAGGCCAAATATGGGCACAATATGTTATAGCGTGTTTCGCGTGAGTAGCCGCTAACAATTAAAAAAGAAATTCAAACGATTGTGTAAGAAACAAACTTCTTCCCAAAAAGGGGTGCTTTATTGATGAGTATTACAACTGGAAACAAACAGAATGCCTCTAAGGAGCGCAAGCACACGAGTACTGAAAATTGATAATTAAAGTTAATTTAAAAAATTGAAATTACATATTCTCTATTTGAGAGTGTTTGATTCGGGGGCTTTTCTCTATATCTATTCTTCATTTTATATTTCCATAATGATTTTTTCGTGACAAACTGCTTGGAAACTGCTACCCATTTTCTTCATGGTGGCTAACTTGTCGTTCAACTGCCATCTCTAACTGCTGCCATTACTCTTTGGCGTTCAACTGCCTTCAAATGGGCTCCTTAAATCGTGGAATGTAATAATGGCTCGATAACTCTTTCAGTAACTGCTATTCTGGATGACCATATCTCGTGTATTAAGATTCTGGGCGATTCGTTGTCGCTCTAAGCGACAGTGAGGCACTCCATTCGTCCAAACTCTGGGCGTCTTGCAGGCTTGGGCGATGATGTTACTGTGTTTCGTGGGCTTCCCCTGCATTCACCAATAACCTTATTTGGGCATTTATCCTGGATTCTCCAATTGGGTTTCACTCTTTGGGCTATTCAATTTGGACTGTATTTTTGGTGTGTCAACAATTACCCCCCAATATGACAGATTTAAGACCAAGTATTAACTATTGCCATATTTGCCTTGTATTTTCTAGGGAATGTTTGAAATTCTCGAGAATTTCAATCATCATTCCTTTTTATAGCCTAAAAGGGTGCAACGTTATTAACCCTTATAAACCCAAAAGACGCGCCATTTCATCGCACCACTAAGAAATATCCCTATATTTCGCACTTTTTTCCCGCTATTTTACTGTTCATCTTCTTGCTTTTCTACTACGTTTCTTTGGCAAACCTTAATAAGACTGCACTTTACACTGAATGGCGACTTCACAAACTCAATCTGATGATACTTTTAGTTTCGAAGATTTCCAAATCATCCTTATTAGGCCATATGTAAATGCAAACTTCCTCACACCAGCCAATGCTGACCTCAATGAATTCTATTTTAGGTCCATCATTCAATAATACCGAAGCCACAGAACAGGTGGAGGTGGGCCAGTTGTTCCCTTACACTAAAGATCTTCCATTTCTGAATTCTTTGCCATCGAAGCCAATCCATGATAAAGGTATTCGTACTTGGTCAAAACCTGATCCTAATTTTCTTAGATGACATGCACGTATGGTGAATCATAGTCCCACCAAAGCAATTTTTGATCGTGCTAAAATTTTGGACATATTAGAAATTACCCTTTTTCTCCCAACTTATAACCCAATGCTCTTCCCAATCGACCTGAGTTTCTGGTCCTCTGAACATAATACTTTTATCTTTCCGCTTGACCCAATGTCCATTACTCTAAGGGCACGTATGGTGAATCATGGTCCCACCAAAGCAATTTTTGATCGTGCTAAGATTTTGTGCCTATTAGAAATTATCCTTTTTCCCCAACTTATGACCCAGTACTCTTCCCAATCGCCCTGAGTTTCTAGTCCTCTGAGTATAATACTTTTATCTTTCCTCTTGGCCCAATGTCCATTACTTTAAGGGATGTTGGAGCCATAGTGAATATTCCGCCTTTGGGCGATACTATCTTTCCCGATATTTTGATTTCCAGTGTTGCTCCACAATTTGACAAAAAGGTTGCCGAATCTTATTCAAGCATGCAAGGTCTTTATACTGCTTCCAATTCTGAGCCTACCCATGCTGAGCGTGTTGCTTTCCTTTAGGCCTAGCTCTGTAAATACGTTCTTTATGTCCCCAGACTGAAACCCTCCTAGAGTTATCTGCCACTGTCGCATGAATTAGCATGTGCCATATTTGAATTTGTGCTCATTCTTTTTGGCCACCTTTTATAGAGGCATGGCTTCTCTTCAACTCCAGTTAAGGAATGGTGCATCTCCTACTGGTAGTAGGCCAAGTTGGCTTACTCAATTGTGGTTGAGAGCCTATTTTCCACAACTTGGTGCTCCACCGTCTCCTCATCGAACAGTTAGCTGTTATGGGCTATTCATTCATCAAATGAGCCCTATAAATATGTTCAACAAGGACGTTTTTATGTTCTTTTATACTTTGAATTCAACGCCTTCTTTCTTTCCTTTATCTCTTCATCAAATCCCTCTATACATACGGCCT